GGGACACGGCCGCTTGCCACCTCCCTGTAGTTCCGCATCTCCATGGGCCAGTGCTGCGCGTGGCCAGTTGGAGGGCACGCTGCTGGCGCGGGACGCCCGCTTGCCGCCAGGACCCTGTGTGCCGGAATGCCCCAGGCCCACCTGCCGCTGCCTGTTTCCGGCCACGCTGCTTGCATGATCCTGATTGGGTAATTTTTGAATCCCACTGTTTTTGATTGGATGTTAAAGCTTGTTGTTGATTGGATGTTAAAGCCTATTGCTGATTGGATGTTAAACCTTGTAGTTGATTGGATGCTTCTTAAGCCCTACCAAGGGTATAAAAGCAGGGGCAGAAGGGCAGGAAGGGGAGAACATCAAAAGACACGAAGAGAGCTATAATACTAGGTGTGCTGAGCCTGCTGTAGAAAAATAAAGGCTGTTCTCCGACTCTTCGTGTGCTGCTGGGTTCTTTCCCTGGTCAAATGGATAAGAGCTGTAACAAGAGCTGTAACACTAGCTGTACACACTGCCGCAACAAAGTCACCAAGCTGCTGGTGCAAACTGTGTGACCATGTGTGAGATACTTGATCTGTCTGGGTCCCAACATCTCCATCTGTGACGAGGCCACACTAATGTCTGCAAACAAGGGTGGTGACGAGAACAAGACAACACACACAGCGCCCTGCCCTCGGAAGACCTTCGACAGGAGCTTTTGTTATTGGTTTATGCTATATCACTTGTTCCCAAGTAGCCCTGTAAAATACACAGGACAAATGCTACTAACGAGCATTCTTTATCTCAAAGACGCAGGGAGATTAAGGCTTTCACAGCTCAATAAACACTTCCCATACAAACAAAAGAATAACAATTCGTAAGAATCACAGTGGGTGTTACTGTGCTTCCAGTCCAGAGTCCATGGCAGAGTCTCTGTGTGCATTCTGGTAGCAGCAGCATCGAGCATTGTGCCTTCCAGCTGAGCCTATGAAGCTTGTGAACCTACGGAGCTCATCCTTCCACTGCAAAGAGCAGCAAAGGGTTGATGTAAATGGCATCCAGATGTGTTCCCATAACGTACTTCACCACCAGATAACAGAGCATACCAGCGGCCGACAGTGAACCAGCCACCCCTAAAACCTGCTTACTCTTAAGCGTAGGACATTGGCCCAAGAGGACCAGCTTTCCATTTGATCGAGGACTCACTCACATCATACAGAGGAGGTCTCATCACCTGATGAGGCTGTAATTTGGAGCCAATAAGGAGCCTTCAAAATCTATCCAAACTAGCAAAGCATCCCATTTTAAAGTAATAATAATTGTGGAGATGAAAATTTATAGTAATATTTTTTAAAATCAAATTTAGAGAGAGAGGACATTGCCAGGAACCAATCAGAAATTGGTTGGTCTGGACCCAGCTGTAAGTGTCTGAAAAGTTGATCATAACTGGCACAGAAAATCGCCACCCCCAGAGCCCTGAACAGGTACAGCTTCACTCACCAATTTCACAGCTCCGATAGTTCTCTCCTTCCCACATCTGCTGCAAACAAGGACCACACTGTTGATATTAATATCTGTAGCATACGCCTCTAACATTTGACCAGACTTGCATAATTTTTTCTTAGTGGTATATTGTTGCATATCATATAGGAAGTAAAATATGCTTATTAGGAGAAAACTATCTACGCTTTCTTTCAAAACCGCAGTGCCCTCTTGCACCACTAAGTGACACGGACGTACTGAGGCAGCCCCAAGCCCAGGTCCCCACCCAGGTTGCCCTGTGCTGCCCGGGGAGCTTCATCTGCTCATCCACAGCACTGACTAGAAAGCCAAGCTCTCCTTTTTCATTAAATTACGCAGCACGGACTTCAAAAGTCATCGCTTTTACAACATTCGGCCATTTTGTCTTTGAATAAATGGATTGGTGCAAGCCTTTTGCTAATTTCCAGAGGTTTAAGAAAGGTTGATTTTGATCATTTCTGTGAACATTCTCTTTGCTTTTATGGGGGAGGAGATGTGAGGAGGTCGACCTGGCCATTCTGCAATGATTCTTTGGCATGTTTGTTTTTAACAGAAACTTTTCCTGCCTGTGGTTATTTGCAAACCTTAATTTTATGTGAGTGACAACTGTCCCTTCAATAACTACTAATATTTTCCAAACCTGAGAAAATTTCAGTGGCCATAAAACATGCTTTAAGTTATTGTAGGTCAGGATAATCATGATTTTGATTCTGTGTATGCAAATTAAAGCTGTGTTTGTTGTTTTATGTGCAATCCTGGGAGGCACAGGACAGGAAGTAATATGATACATGCAGAAGAAAGTAGGCTAACATCAGTAAAGAACAGGGAATTCTAAAAAATTAATAAGGAACTGACAATTATGCTTGCATATTTATGACTACAAAAGTCATCAGAGGTTGAATTTTTTGCATCATGGAAAACATATGAACATAGAATTTTGATATATTAGTATTATGTTAATGCATCCATTCACTTGACAAGCAGTTGCCTTAAGTGTCTCCTCTGTTTCAAGCAATACAGGGGTGCAGGAGCCGGGCTCCCAGAGGGCCACTGACTCTCACCTTTGGGTAATTCACACTGGCACGCAGGCCCCTGAAAGGTGGCCTCACTGTTAACAATGACCTATCAAACAGAGGAAAATAAACTATCAAACAGAAAGTTAAGGAAAATAAACTCACAGCACGTAATTTCCCTCTGAAGAGAAAACTCACAACACACCATCCCGTCTGTTCTGTTCTGATCAGACACCTGTGGCCTAACTCATCACCTCTTAGTCTGTTTCAGCCTGAAGGGCCCTAAGTGGACGGTGGGGTGCGAACTCCCCGCCCCAGCCCTGCCCCCGGCTCCTCCCAGAAACACGGTTCCAGGACCCGGATAAGCCGGCCTCGCAGAGAAAAGAGGGGAAAAAATAAAGAGCCCCTGCAACATCTTCACAGCCGCTTCCGTCATCAGTCTGCTGAAGCAGGAAAAAAAGCCATTTTTACCCTTTAAAAACTCCCAACAGTTTCTGCTCGGTGGCCAGCACTTCCTTCCTCTCCCTCCACGTGCTGTGGCCACTCCCTCCCTTTTTACCTCGTTCTCTTTCTCTCTCTCTGAAAAATAAGCTTTTCACCACTTTACATCTCAATCTCTGTGTCAGAAATCTTCTTTGCCTGTGTACGGACGTCCCACTCTCAGCCCCTCCGTGTGAACAGGGTGGTCTGGGGACCCGCAGACCTGCAGCTCGTGAGGGGACGTGGCTGCTGTGCTGAGTCCAGGAAGACACTGCGCCCTTATGCTCCCTGCCTCTGTCTCTGTCTCCCTGGAATTTACTCTGCGTCCCTCCCGAAGCCACCTGCCCCGCACTGAGGTCGCTTGAGCACCTGCAGAGAGGCCGCACGGCCAGACCAGGAGCCTCGTGCACCAGCCAGCCCCGAGTGTGCCACCTGGGAAGCCGGCCCAGCGCTCCTGCTCCAGCCATGCGTGCCGACAGGAGCTCTCTCACGCCACGGCTTCTTATCACTAGCCACGTTGCTCATCACTAGCCACTCGCCACAAAGCCAGATTTTCACCCAGCCCATCTGCCGGCGTTCACCCCTCACGGCGCCGTCCTGCCCTGTCCAGCGGCGTCAGCGGGTCCTTCTCCCTCCCTTCCTTCCTCACAGCTGTGTGTAGGCCACAGTTACTTCTTTTACTCATTAAAATAATCTCAATGGCAATAGAGACCTGCACAACTTTTTTCTAATTGAAAATTTTCAAGTGTTCAAAAAGCTTCCTCAGTTCGGTCATGCTAAAAGACATTCTGAAGCCAAATCCTGATTTTCAAAACAACTAACATCTACGCTCTCCCTACCAGTAGCTGCACGGTTCTCTGCCACACCCCTGGCTGGGTCTACTTTGCTCTTCTCTTCCTTCTTTCATGCCGCGCCATTCCTCCATCTCACTGGCAGGACGTTGCTCAAAGGGATTTTTAAAAGAATACAGCTCAAAACAGCACACTGACGGTTTCAGGACAGGCGACGGCAACACGTATCATCAACGGAAGCAGGCACATTACAGATGTGTGGCGTGATCTCATTATTGGAACAAGGGCGGCATGATCAACATGTGCATCTCAGCACTGACAGTAACGGGGAGAAAAACACGGACCTAAATATCACCTGCGGGGACTGCAAAGAGGAATTAGGACCATGGTGGAATGGGGTGTTCTGAAGGCTTCAAGCCATAGAGCTGATGGTAGCTCAGCCCAACGGCACGGCAAGACTTGTTTATTCACCTTTTCAGTGTTCAGCATATACTGAAGGGGAACTACGTGCTGGGCGCAGTGTCATGCCCTGTACTGCAACGATACATTGCTCTGGGGAAACCAGCAGGTTGACAAGACATGTATGTAGTACAGTTCCACTCAGCCCCACACATCAGGACGAAGCACACAGCCACACAGCAATGCTGTTCTCTAGATCAAAGCTCCAGTCTTCCCAAGACAAAATGAAACTGACATTCCCAAATACTCAAGTGTACTCGTTAGTATTTTTATATCTTCTGCAAAGATTTCCCTCCGCATAAATACAATTGATTTGCAACTGTTATTTTCTTTTCATCTTTTCTCCTAATTTAGGTAGTTTCTTTAAATTTGGGGGTCCTATTTATTCAAATTCTTTCACAAGAATTTTCAAAATCCTGTTCTTACTTGCTGTGGCACTTCCTTGCTCTCTTCAATTTTAATGACAGTGTTCATATTAGTGCTACATGGAACCACATCTGTCCCTGGATATGTCCACGTTTTTCTATATTTCAGCTACATCAAACATGCACAGGCACAGAGTGACAGGTGCTTACATTACAAAAGGAATTTTTCTTTCTCCCAGTACAAGTTTATTTCCTGAGTTCTTCTCCCTGCATGCAGTGAGAACTGGCACGTAACCTTAGATATGAAATCTCACCAAAATAAAGTCTGACTGATACGCACCATCCGACGCAAGCCCTGTGTGCAGCAGAGAGGCCCCCAAGCACGAAGTGCAACATACCTGGGGTGCAGAGGGGTTGAAGGCCACTCCGGTGACGGTGTCTGTGTGCCCCGCCAGTCGGTGGGAAAAGGTGCTCGAGCCCATCTCGTACACGTAAGCCTGCGGAACGAGAGCAGAGGCCGGCGTTAATTCAGAGTCAGGAGTCAGCTGACAGGTGTGCAAAGCCATTCGTTGCTCATGTGGTCTACAGCTAATCCAGCATGACAGCAACAGCTGACACAGGTGACGAAATGCCATCCGAGCTGTGAAACGACATTCACAAACTGTGCATCTTCTCCTCTTTTCTCTGTTACATTTTTTAACACCGTAGTGAACTTATATCATACTTTCTACTTCCTACCATAAGACTCCATCATGCCCTGTGAGCAGTTTTAAATATAGACTCATATTTGATGGTTAATTTTAAGGAAGGAGTGCAGGCTTTATAATTTAGCATTACCTTAAAGTTCCAACTTAAGAGAAAAAAATTATGCTATTAATATATTTTCCTTCCCGAGAAACTTGAGGGAGAACTATATATACTATACTTTGCTTCCCACTCATCGGCGTGGAATTTGAGCAATTCCAACACTTAGAACTTTTTCACAGCTATTGGTAAGTTCTCTTCTAATGGTATTTTATATGTGTATCTCCAAAATTGCCATCAAATGCTTCATGTGGGGGACAAAACCTGGGACCGGGATACCATCCTGAGGGGACTTGAGAGATGAGATAATCCCTAAGTAACAAAGTGTATCAACAAGTATTTCTGCAAGTCTGCTAGTAATGAAGAGAAACGCCACACTGCACAGATGAAAGGTGTCAAAGGTGATTCCTTTTTCCACAGGAAGCCACCACTTTTTAAGTAAGTGTTATTGTGTATGTTTAAAGTTTACAACATGGCGTTATGAGATAGAGACAGACAGTGCAATGGTTACCATAGGGAAGCAGATTAACAAATCAACTCATATAGTTACATTTTTGTGACCAGAGTAGCTAAAAACATCACTGTGTTGACATTACCCCCAGCTGCACATAGGCCTCTGGGCTGTTCCCCCTGCACACCTGCATGTCTGCGCCCTCTGACCTACCTGTCCCCACCCCGCTCCCAGCCTCACCCCTGGTAGCCACTGTTTCACTCTCTCTGTGTACTTGAGCTCTTTTTAAAATATATATTCTATATACAAGTGCTAGTAGGTGATATATTTCTTTCTGTGTCTGGTTTCTTTCACTTACCACAATGTCCTCCAGGTTCACCCACGTGTGACAAGAGGCAGGTTCTCCTTTTTAAAGGCTGAACCATGTTCTGTTGTGTGTGTGTGTTTAACAGGAGTTTTTAAGTAATTTTACAAATAGATTTCTGATATGTAGTTGGCCCTTGGACGATGTGGGGAATCAACCTCCTGCATAGCAGAAAATCCACATGGAACTATTAAGTCTCTAATGACTTACTGAATAGCCCACTGTGGACCACAGCCTTACAGTGACATAAACAGGTGATTCACACAGACTTTGCATGTTGCATGTATTATATGCTGTATTTTTATAATAAAGTAAGCTGAGGAAGAAAAGAAAATGTTATAAAGAAAATCACAAAGAAAAGAAAATATATTTACTATTCATTAGGTAAAAATGGGTCATCATAAAGGTCTCCATCCTCACAGTCTTCACGGTGAGTAGCTGAGGAGGAGGAGGAGGAGGAGGGGAAGGAGGAGGAGGACGGGGAGAGAAGGGGTTGGACTCGCTGCCTGGGGGTGGAAGAGCTGGAAGGGGAGGCAGGAGAGGTGGCTCTCTAAGAGTGACTTTACAGAAACACATTATGATTTCGGTCTGACTTTTTTGCATTTTCATTTCCCTAGAAATGTTTCTACACTGCACCAAGCCTCCTTCCACCGTATGCTTTAATTGCAGCACCCAGGTCAGGGAAGGGTCAGGACCATGTCGTGAAAGACGTTGAAAGCCGGCTCGAGTGATCAGAACCCTCCGCCAGGCTGTCTGGATGCCAGTCTTCGGCGAGGCCGCGTGGCTTCTCGTAGGTCCTTCCCCGACCCGGTCGTGGGCACTTTGCTGGGAAGGACTCATCTTGTGAATCCCTCGGGGGGGGGGGGGTCTGTCAGCTCCCCGAGTTTTCCCCCCAGAGAGCGGCACATCTTGAAACTGTTCTTGGCAGCATCCACAGCCTCTTTGGCTGACTCCTTGACTGGTCTGTCTAGTGGACCCCGTGAGTCGACGCACGACACCCTGACAGGTCTTCTCCAGCCGAGCAGGTTTCGACCCTGGGGCAGGGCGTTGTGCTTTCGCATGGGCTTTTCTAATAATCACACGTGAATGGCAGACTGTCGCACGGGTGGAGCGGCGTCCTTCGAAACGGATTGTGAGCTTACTCTCGTGGCAGGGTTCCCTCGTGTGGCGTTGACGAGCGTTTCCATCCCAGTTTGACTAATGTGAACGGGAGCGCGTTAGAGGGTGGCCTCATTGGACCCGCCTGGACCGTTGAGAGCTGAATTAGAGAGCACAGTTTGGGGGCAGAGTGACCGCAACGTGTTGAGAACGCCCTTTGGGTGTTGAAGCTCTAGATGATGTTCGGCGGGTGACCC